ACGTCAAGTAACATTAAGGTCGTTTAGAATCGTCGTTTAGGAGTAGAGAGTTGCAAGTAAGATACAATTTTATCACGCAAATTTAAGTGCAGAGATGTGCATGGCAATGAAAACAAAAGGTATAAAGAAACACGCACAATTCCCCTGTAAAGGGCAGGTACATTCCGTCAAAGCAAGCTAGTTCAGCATGATGTTTTGGTCTTGACAAAGTTAAATAAAAGGTAACAAAAGCTAAGGGTATATCTGCACCAAGCCTCCTCGAAAACTTAAATGTAACCATCACGAGAACCGATGGCTTGGCAAACGTTAACGCCACAACGCTTACAGCCCAGCTAAACAACTTAATGCTAACTGTTACCGGTTTGAGTTTGTCCGCAATACAAAACAATTGTCGTCCTCTGCTTGCATAGCTCAAAGCAAACACCTTAACATTAGCAGGCAGCCTCGCAGGACGCTGTCTGTCTGACGCTGCATACCAATGCAAAAAGGAGGACCAAACTCGTCTGGTAATCTTCAATCATGATGAAAATCGAGGATATAAAAATGCAGAATCCTTAGGAACAAACTGCAAACAACCCTCGTCTTTTAAATCGAATAAAGGCTAGTATTAGCAGGCTAATGTTAGCTGAACTGCTAGCATAATCAACCAGCCCAAAACAGTGTGTTTTCCTACAGTGTCCTAACTGTTTTAAAATCGGTTACACACAGCGGATGTATCTTAAAGTGGTCTAGGGTGAAGACAGTACCTGAAATTCAAGATACCGGTGGCTGTCGACGACCTTGGGCTTCAGATTTCTACTAGTTGTGTCACCAGCTGAGCGCGCGGCCTCCTACTCAACGCGAGCTCCCGACATTCGAAACGAAACAACGACCATGACGTCATCCTCAACATCGACGGGCCAAAACAACAAAGTCCAGCACCCGATCAAAACCAGGACCAAACTCCACTACAAATCTCTGATGTGACACTAACCCGAGCAGGAAACATTCATTCAAGTACTCTACTTAAGGACAATTTTGATATATCTTTATTATACTTGGAATGTGCCATTCTGACTACTTTTACTTTTAGTACTTGGGACAGAGTGTCAGCCTTTCCAAATGCCATGATCAATTCACACATACTGAATTTATAATGTATGGAGTATGTTAAGGGATATAAAATGATTGTGCTTAAACTTAAAATTTCATTTTTAGAGCAATATTGTAGCATCATTAATGGTTATCTGAATGTAAATACCACTAGTGTGTACTTTTCATACCCCAGTGTGGAACTAAATACTAAATATAACTAAATATTTAAGTGTCATGTTGATTGAGGAAATTTTCACTTTAACACTATATTTTCCATACTCTGGTATTTTTAATTTTACTTCTGTAAAAAAATGCTTCTTCCACCACTAACTCTAAATGATGCGCTCAAGAGTGACAGACGTTCTGCAAGGTCCAGCATTTATTGACATGTAATCTCACTGACAGTTCATTAGCTTTTACATCCCCAACATGGTTCAGACACAAAATACTGAAATTAGAAGTGCAAATCTAAAAACAAATGAAATGCACAGTGCACTCTCAGTTCAGGGAATGATTTGAACTCTTTTCAAGCACCAGTATATCATCAGACAGATTCATTTTCAAATTGGTCAGAATACATTTTTCAGTGATTTCAGTTATAACTGAATTACCCTGTACATTACAAATGTAGTGGATCATAAAGAAAATATAACTACATGAATGTAAAGTATCTCATTAAATCAAGCAGATATATTTTTAAATAATTCATCTACAGTATAAAGAAACTAAATCTTCTTGTTGTTTGGGTCAGCCTGCTCCATCGCCACATCGCCTTCTGCTTTCTCAGTGATCTGAGGAGCAAAAGGTCCCACCAGCCAGTTAAGGGGTTTGTTGTTTAGTAGATACTCCATGACACCATCCAGAGAGTGCTGAACCTGTAAATAAGCACAGGCCAGTATTACATTCAACTAACCATAATCAAAAGAAATGTGTGTGTTTTGTAATGTATGTAGGAGTTTCCTGTTTAATTCCTGTCTAATGAGACTCTGCAGGTACTGTTAATATTTAAGTACCAGTAAAAAGAAGGTGATGGAAGGCCTAATTGTGTTATGCAATGGTATGGAAAAAAGAAAAAACAAACAAAAAACTATATGCTGTGAAATAAAATACATGCTACAGACAGTATAGTGCAATTAGTACTTGGGTCAAGTGGTGACGGCTCCGCTCCAGAAGGAGGGGTGTGAGAGAGCTGGTGTTTCCCAGAGAAGACTGCAGTTCTTCAGCTGATCGCCTTGCGTTGGTCAGCTGGTCCTGGACTACACATGGTAGACCCTGAGCACTTGAAACCACACTGGAGCATGCTAAGCGCAGCTGATCACTCAGCCCACGCAGCATGGAGAGGGCCCGCCATTCAAGCTGCTGTAAACAGTAAAGGAAAGAAAAATCTAACACTGAATGGTATACATAATAATTGACAGAAAAATACATAGCTGTAAACTATCCATTCTTTCCAATGTCCCCGAGTTCCTTGATTTCCTGTCCCATCCCAATCCTGATGACACAATGTAATATCCCAATCCCACATGAGTCTGTGGGGGCATTACAGTACAATGTCAGCCTCTAAAATGCACATTTAATTTGATGTTGCATCCCATCACTCTAGATTTGTGCTTGCCCCTTTCACAGAAATAAACTTATGCTCTGAAAGCTTTTCTATTTGTTCAAGTAGTCACTTTGGGGTATGCGTGCTGCATACGTACAGTCTATACAATATAAATGCTGAGAAATGAGAAAAGAATCTGGTTAGAAACCACTTATTCAATTCCCAAATGCTTCAGCCCTGACCTCAGACTCATCTTTGGTCCCATCTGGCTCTGACTTAGTCTGTCCATCTCCAGCCTGCTTCTGTGTCCACTCTGTCCAGCGCTGTAGCAGCAGCTCGGAGGCACCTCCTATCTGGTTACTGGCAGTACCCAGACTGGTACGGGCACTCTCTAGCAGGTCCAGAGTGCTGGTAATCTGAGCCATTGCAGCATAGGTAGCATCCCTGGCGTGCCGTGCACGGACCAGGGACAGCTGCAGTGCACGCTCCTGCACCTTGGCAGAGAGTTTTCCCAAGCGGACAAAGTAGCTGGGGCTGGTTGACAAGGTAGTCACCTCACTGGTGGCAGATTCAGCCACAGCAGCTGAAAGAGAGCAGTGTTAATCACATATATATTAAAGATACATGTTTTATGTAGCAGGGTATCTTGAATTTTAAATATGACTACACAGGTATGATTACAGTAATATATGTTATACTGTACACTGCTTTGCCAGATCTCAGAAAAGGGCAACAGCTCAACCATTTTTGATTCTCATTTTGTTTTTAGTCTTAACTGTTCTGTGAAGAAATACACTGAAGAAAGTCAGCATGCACATTCAGAGTGGCATGTGCTAACTAGTGGGCATGTTCTGACTGGTGGATGGAGGGAGGCACAATTGGTTCCCAGCCACTGTGCCAGCTGGTGCATCTGCTCCAGGTCAGTCAACTTGTCTCTGATAGAGTTAAAGCACATCTGCTCAAGAGAAACAAAAAAAGACCTGAGAGCCACCTCAGTCTCTCCAGTCATCAGTCTATGCAGAATAACACTGCCTCCCCTGTGCCTCTGTTAAAAGCCACTGTGGTGCCACTGATAAAATTTAAAATCCCCATAATGGGGTCTGCGTGCAATTTACACATTTTCATATCCATAATCACAGAAGAGAATGGCTTCTTATTGAAGTATGGCAGGTTGTGATAAAACCATGACATCACAGTAGCAGGTGTCAAAGCTGTGAGTGCTGGACATTACAGGTACTATACAGGCCAAGCAAACAGAAGGGAGCTCATTGGAATGTCCTGTCTCACTCTCCATCATTAGCATAAACCATTCATGTGCACAGAACCAGTCACTGTGTTGGAACTTATGACTGCCCTCATCTTGTCAATTCAACTTGCCCTGGGCAGTTTATTTGGACAGTCTCGTTAAATTTGGTGAAAGGACAGAGTGTCAGCCTCTGCAAATGCCATGATCATTCACACATATTGTATTTATAATGTATGGAGTATGTTAAGGGATATAAAAATGATTGTGCTTAAACTTAAAATTTCATCTTTAGAGCAATATTGTAGCATCATTAATGGTTATCTGAATGTAAATACCACTAGTGTGTACTTTTCATACCCCAGTGTGGAACTAAATACTAGTTTTCATAGGCATCTTACAACCACAAGTGCAAATGTAAAAATTGGCCAAAAATCAGATGTGGTGGTGCTCCAGACCTCCAGTACTAAGGAATGAGGGGGAAGTGATCATTTTTATTTGAATAAAATGTTTACAATCAGTGTTATCTGTAAAGTACTGGAGTGAAGCAGCTCTATGTTCTCCATTATGATCAGGGGAAGAAAAAAACTAAACAAAAAAAACCCCACAGAATTCTTTTTCATCAAATCTGCAATAAAATGTGTGAATCTGTCTCAATCTATCTTAACGCATTACTGACTCAGTCTTAAAGCTGTAAATGTCTTAGTTATTTTATTAGCTTTACCAGAAAAGTTGGGGGAAAAATACTCTGTTTATTTACAGATATCAGTGATAAAAAGTTCAGAAACTGGCCACTTGTCCATAACTAATTAAATCCAGTTGGAAGCTTGTTTCAGCTTCATTTGATTTGATGTCAAAACACATCTGTTTGTACCTCAGCAGTAGACATAAGGGGTATTACTACCACCCCTGATTCTTTATAGACTCATTAGCTTTCCACATTTATTGACTGCAGCTACTAACCCAGCTCCCTCTCAGTGAGCGGTAGGTTCTGGTCAACCCAATCCTCGGATCGGCTCAGGGCCAGGCCCATCCCACTGCTGACCATCTGGCCCATCCTGGTGCCCATGACAGTGCTGATACCTCCACTGACTGCAGTCCGGGTCAGCTCGACACCACCCATCACAGCCCCCACCACCGACTGGTATACCATGCCTACTGTGTCCGACACCACCTGAGGAACAAACAGCCAGATAATGTGCCATGATCAGAGAGAAATGGTGGGGCTATTATGTATTTTCTCTTGACAGATATGACTTTTGAGGCAATGTGGTCCACAAGGAGCTGTTAACAGAGCATTTGACAATAAATCATCAAGTCATCTGTATTTTGTAGGCAGCTTAACCCATGGCTGTTATTTAAAACGCAGGGGATGTGTGTTGGTGAGCAGAGTGAGGGGTTGCAGGGAGAGTGTTGTAGGTGTGCATGATACAGTTACATTGTGATGAGTCAAAGTGAGTGGCTTCATTCATGTTTACAGCCTGGGAGTTTCCATCATGTTTTGGTTAACCATGCTGCTAATGTAGCCTGCTCTACCTTAGGATAATCACCTTTATTGGCCAGGTATGTTACACACAAGGAATTTGTTTCCGTTACAGAACCAAGGTAGCCATCTGCGGCGCCAACTCAAATGATGTCTCTAACCATCGAGGGTAACATGGGGGGGGGGGTTCAGTGTCTTGCCCAAGGACACTTTGGCACCAAGAGTCGAACCTTCAACCTTCCGGTTGGGAGACAACAGCTCTACCCACTGCACGACTGTCGCCTCCCCAGATTAGCACCAATTTTGACCATCAGTGTGTCAGCACTGATAGATAAAAAAAAACACAGTTTAACATCTAGTGCCCTAACTAACTAAAAAACAAAAACACAGCATGTTATTATGGTGCATTAACTGTGGCTCAAATTTGAGAGTGGATAGCAGCCCATGCTCATGCTAACAAGGTTAACAAAGAGTCTTCCTTCTGTGGGCATCCGCGTCCCGACCATCACTGGTCAATGCTGTGCCTTTGCCGGATGATCTCACCAACTGGTGCGCCAAAGGTGGAACCAGATCCAACGTTTTTGCTTCAAGGGTCTGTGGAGCCCCCTGTGGTGCTGGTTGCAGTGAATGCAATCACCCATAGAAATGAATATAGTGGGCAGCATTTTTTCACACCTTTGAAACTCGGTCTGAACGTGGACTAAGAGAGGGGTTGAAATGTATTTTCTACCTACATTATAGTAGAATGGTTTTATGTCTGACCTTGTCTGCTGGTTGGTGAAGAATGGGTAGCTTCTCTTCCACCTTATCCAGTCCTTTCATGGCATACTCATTTATTGTGGCAACTGAAACAAGAGCACAACAGACATTTTCTTGAAACTGTAATTTACATACATAGGATGCACTGCTAAATGGAGAGTGATGCACCGAATAGCAAAAGCAGTAATGTGTTAGAGCTCAGAACCCAGAGGGAACAAGTGGACCTGGCATCAGTTTCACACCTTCATTGTGCAAGAAGCTTGCAATATTCTTTTACAGTACACTTCAATGCTGCAAATGTCTCTGCTGTCATTGCACATATATTACATCATATTTTTTCACTGAGAGGAGAACCTACTCTGTGGTTCTATAATGTGCAAAAGAGGCTTGGACCCAGTGGTGGCAGCTGCTCCCAGGGTTCGGACCCCACTCTCTGCTACATCCATCACCCCCTTCAGCAAGGGCACATTGTCTTTGGTGCTGCTGTAGGCGCTGGATACCACCTCACAAGCTGAACTGACCAGGGGCAAGTTGCTCACTCGGGAAACAATATTCTAAGACAAAAAAAGACGTAAGAATTGTGTGCTGTCTCTATAGAGAAAAGCTCTTTTCAGTACATAATATTTATCCTGTTAGGGATAATGACTGATTCCCCACAGCAGCATATCAAAATGGGAAAATTCTAAGCATAAAATGAGTTTATAATATGCCTCAGTTTCTTAATAGGTGTCATTCTGGGTGACAGTGCTCCTCACCTGCTGTTCTCCGTTAGCTGGTTCTACTGCTGCAGCTCCACTCTCATTAGTCTTCCCACTGTCTGCCATTGTGACTGCTGGATTCACTCTCTGACATGGAATACAGAGTGCCAGAAACAGAGATTCACCTGGCATAGCTTAAACATGCATGATGAAATACAGCTTCTTCTTTGATATTCTTTGTTTATAGGGTTAATGCACTTTATCTTGCAGAGAAGCAGCATCTCATGAATTTGGACGTGGAATTGCTGTCCTGTCAGATGGCATACTAAAGGCAGAAAGGCAACTCAACCATGTTAAATTTTTTGTCAACACTATGATGCAACAAAGATGAAACAGCTCTGAATAAAATGGTGGAAAGCAAACAATTTAAGTTTAAAGTCAAAAACTGGGTATTGATACATTTTGAATTTAGTTTTTCCTTTTTGACTTCCTAGAGCTATAATTATCGCATTTTTCAAAGTATATTACATCGTGAAAATAGGGATTAATGAGGACAGTGTTTGGTAGATCAAGGTGTGGAACAAGCATGTGTAACATATTTAAACACGTTATTATTCAGCACTAATGAGAAGTAAATTATAGATTCACGATTATATGTGTGCCAAGGAAATCTCCTACTATAGCCTGTCAGAATAATAGATGTTTTAGTATCACTTCAAAAATCTTCATGCTTGCGTTTTACATAAAAACCCAGTAAAATCAAAAACAGCATAAAATGAACAGAGAAATGATGAATTATGACAAAGCATTGCACAAGTTGGTCTAATCTGACGGATGAGAGAAAAACTATGAGCAATGCTAGAAACGCAAGACCTGCAGTGTACTAATACTGGAGACTGATTGTTCGCAAGCATGCATGCAGGCAAACTGGACTCCTGATACAGTATGATTTGTATCAAGTCCAAATCCTACATGTAATACTGAAATACTCTCTATAGCCTTATATGAAAAACTAGGCCAAAAGAATGACTAAAGTACTGCTTTAAGTAGAAAGGCTCCTATTGCATTAATTAAATAAAGAATTGGCGTACATAAAAATTTAATCCAATACTTAACCGAGCCACAGAAATCATCTGTTCAGTTAAGTATCCAGTTTCCATTATGCTTGAAATAAGCAGTTGACACTGTGTGACTTATTAAGGCACATCTGACATGACGTGTCTTGTCTAAGAGTGAGCAAAAAGTGTGAGTAAAATCCTCTATCATGGTATACTGTGTGTAATTAAGACCTTAAGGACCAATTATTTTATCATCAATTAATCGGCTGATTGTTTTTTTTCCATTAAATCTGTTTTCCATTAAATCTGTGAAACATTTAGACTATCCATATTTTTAACATGTCATTTCGATTTGGGCAGTTCCCTAACAATATGAAAAGGGCAAAGGTTATTCCACTGTATAAATCTGGTGATAAGCACAACTTCACAAATTATAGGCCGGTTTCTCTGTTGTCACAATTTTCAAAAATTCTGGAAAAACTCTTTAATAACAGATTAGATACATTTATTGAAAAAATAAAATCCTCTCTGATTGCCAATACGGTTTTAGGTCAAACCGAT